AGACGGCTATTTCACGCGGGGGACAATTTACTGCCACGTTTTCCTGAGTTTTTGAATATGCGAAGTCCCCGTAAAATGCGTTCGAAATGCCAAAAGAACCGCAATAATAATAAGAAACTTTCGAAATACAATAGGCCTTCGCAGCGCTTTGCTGCTCGGGCCTAATTAAATAAGTCCATCCGATCCTTCCGGAGTTATTGGAGCAGCAGAGACACCGTGTGGCAGCTAGGAGAACTGTTTTACATGGTTGATAATCTGACTACTTCAGGTAGTGATGAGGCTTATCAATAAAAAAACGGAATGATTTCCTCTTTCTCTATGAAATGGATTAGATTTTCTGATCAGCAGCTGTGAGTTTATGTATAATTGTCAAACTCTACGCCTCTTTGAATGTGATCAAAGTCAGATTTTAGCCCAGAAAGTCTCTGTTCTCTTCAGGCTGTGTCAGCAATGCGGGATTTGCAGCAGACAGGGTTCTCTGTTGATATCCAGCTATCAGCCCAGGGGGGTTTCCATGAAGCAGCTCAATGGCTGACTTCATATTAGATGCAATAACAACGGTGAAGATAAAGTAGTTAAATATGCCAACTCTTAGTTTCAAACAGGAAACATGCATGTGAACAGTTCAGACACAGATGATGATAAATATGTGAATTATTCAGGATAATAGTGCCCTTTAAAAGCATTCATGCTTTCTTGAACTTTCTCTTTATTTTGTTTCAGGTTAGAAACTCAAACTAGATTAAAATTGAAAGTGAGCATTTACAACATAAAAAGCTGTTGTTGAAGTTTTCAATCTAAAAGATCAGCTGACTGCATTGAGTCGAGGAGATGCAGCCACCGACTGTAGCAGAGGCGTGCACAGACATTTTGGGGGGCAGGTGCTCAGGAGGTGGGGGAGGGTACTTAATTATAAAAAAAATACACACGCATGTTGAATGAAATTTGACTTTTATTTGTAACATTCTCTAAACGTGAGTTTTCAATGGAAAAAAGTCACACCACCAACAGAACAGACTAAAGCGTACTACTTTAAAGTAGTACGCTTGCTCATCTTTCTTCTTCTTTCATCTGGCTCATCTCCCTGTTCTCCCTCACCCATCTGTTCTCCCCCATCCTGGTGGTCTCCCTCTTCTTCTGTCTCTGTGTCTTCCCTGAACTCTTCCTTCAAAAGATCATTTCAAAACCGACCTCAGTAAAATCTTAATAATAATAATAATAAAAAATGAGCTTCAAAAGGGCATTTTCATTGATAAAGGGCAATCTTCCTAGTGCTTTAGCACCACCTAGTGTCTATGTATGCACGCCCCTGGACTGCAGGACACTTGCATTGCACTGAGAATGCAATTCTGGGGGTTTAAGGAGACATACAAGACAAACATTAAAGCCCTGGTCTATGAATACTTTCTATGTTAGAAAAGGTAGCTGTAAATTAGCTCCATTTCACTTAGTAAAGAAAGAGTTGCATCAATAAGCTTTTAGTCGGTTTGCATGTCAAAGGGATGAAATAGAGCACGTTCTATTGGTCAGCGTACGGAAACATGGCAGCTGGGTTTAGTGAGGATTAGGACTGGATCCCACCGGCTGTGTTCGACTTTTTAATCTCTGATCTGACTTTTTTCCATGTCCCACTGACGGCGTATAGAGAGGCTACCACTAGGCAGGATGAGCAGATCTGAGCAGATTATTTTCACTGCTGTCTCTGTGCTTTACACACATTGAAACTATTTCCTACATTTGACACGGACAGATTATTTAAAGATGTCAAAATGAATAAATAAAAACCCAGTGGCGCATTCTATAAGCATTCTATATGCTTAACGAGTCTGTGCAGCATCTAGAACCAGAACAGATAGAGAATGTTTGTCCATTAAAAACATAAAGAGATCTACGTCTAAAGAAAAGAAAAACGCAGCAATAAACGGCGTGGGACGGTTTCCATGGTGACTGAGAGGTGATTCTCAGAGAGATCTGGGAAGTTTATCCAAGTTTTTCTTTCTTTTTTCCATAAAGAGGTGAGAGAGAAACGCTGCGCTGACCTGCTCTGTCTGCTCCTCCTTATTCTGGAGGATCACTACTTTATCCGTATTTGTCCTCCTGAACTCCCATCATGGGGAAAGTTTTCTATTTTCTAAAGTAAAACAGACCTGGACTCTATCTCAGTCGGAGCTACGCTGCCCCCTGCAGGAAATCGTGTTGGGCGTGATCATCCGCATTGACTTTCAATCAGCGCTAAACGCCACGGCGTTGTCTGACATCATTTTCTGTATCAGATTGTTGCTGATTTGAAGGCAGTCCATCAAATCGTGTTTCTGTTCTTTATAGGTTAGATTGTTCCCAGGTCTCTGGAGCCCATAGTTATGTCTGCTAGAGAAACAGGAATAAACCCTGAAAACCAAGAACAGGAAAAACCTTTAATGGCGAGTGGTTTTCTACACATACAGGGAATGTGATTTGGTGATAAGATGCTAACCAAGCAAGCTTCACTCCATGATGTAGAGGTTTAATCCTTTGCTGTCATGCTGGTAATCTGAGCTTAATCCAGCTCTTCTCTAGTTTAGGATTACAAAACCTCAGTTTCTGTGCATGAAAGTAAAACGACCAGCTCTCCATTATTATAAGAATCAGAGAGATGAAACCAGTGCAGAGTCTAAGCAGACTATGAAATAATGAAACAAATGAGGAAGCACAGTTTTTTTCTTTTTTTATTAGTAGTTTAAATATAAAAAAAAAACTGCTCTAGACCTGTTTAACCTCTGTCTGTCATGATTTATCTAAAGGCTCGGACCCACATGCAGCGAAGCCAATTAGAGAGACAGAGAATAAAAGTTCAACGGGTTTTATTGAAATGTATTTTGATTCGGTGCAGAGTTCCTCCAAACTCTGCCCAGCCGGAAACTGGAAGACGAGGGGAAGACAGACTGTTAGATTCAGGCTCAGTGGGGAATTGGAGTTGTTCATCTTGAAGGAGAGGATTTGTTGCCACTCATGTTTCCAGAGAAGAAGACACACGTAAACTCCAGTCTGTGTTGGTCTTCCAGAGTTTGCAACTCAGTTTTCCTGTGGTACTTGAACGGGTCATGGTGAAGATGACTTCCTTACTCAGAGAGTGATCTCAGCGTGCTCAAAGGTGGCTGGATCCAAACCTCCTGTTTGGAATCCGTTGATCCCACTTGGGAGAAGGCGGTCCGAAAAGGTCCAGTTTGCAGGAAGGCTTCCTGCCGAAAGGCAAAAACAAACAAAATTTAATCTCAAGGAGACAAGAACTAAGTCAAACTCAATGTGATCTTAGCATGGCTAGAGAACTAAAACTCAAAAATGCAAAACTCAGATTAGGCTCAGAATAAACAAGGCTTGGCTAGAGTACCCCAAACTGGCGTCGAAGTAGTGGCAACCAGCAGCTGAAGAGCAGTCCGGTGATGAGGCAACAGCTTGCAGGTGTGTGAGGAGGTGAACCGGAGCCAGGCGCCTCCTGGTGGTGGAAGGGAGAAACACAAAAGACAAGACAGACAAGCACAAAACTGGGATCCTGACACAGTCATTGTCAACATAACTTTTGCTGCAAGGTTTTGAGTTTTTGACTTTTGCTATTGATTAAATACTTATTTTCCGCCATCATTTATGAGAATATTCTTTAATTAATCCTACGGCTCCCTGGACTTTTTCTCTTATTTTGTTATTGTTTTGAAAATCACAGATCATCACAGACCTAATCTTTCTAGATTGGAGAACTTGCACAATCAGTGGCTGACAAAAATACTTTCATGCCCAACTGTAGTCATAGTTAAATGCGATGTATGAAGTTATGTTCTGTGGAAGAAAGAAGGCCACGATTCACACCATCTATCATCCCGAGGGGGGGGGGATTTATTTACAAAACCGAATTCATACAGTGTCTTAAACACTTCATACATTCAGCGCTATGTCCTCACGTCTGTTATTTCCCCCACCTTCAACCCATTGTGGGCGGCATTTATAGTTTCCACATCGCACTGTGTGGATGCACGCGCACGACTGGACGCTCTTCCTGGAAATCTCTTAGCTCATGACCTGATTGCGTGCGAGTTAGCCAGTAAGAACCCTGTTTTTGCCGAGATTCGTACGTGACTCCCAGCTCTCGGTGTTGCTAAGTGAGCATAAGGTCAGAAACAGGACTACATAACGTAGTACCACTGCTTCCAATAGGGCAATTTTTAGGGATATATTCTGATTCTGATTTCGGATTCTGATATAAGACATTAAAACTGCTTCTACAAGTTTAACAAGCTTTGAAATCTCTGGAGACATTTTGCAAAGCTTTTGCAATATTACAGTCATTATTTTATTCCTAGTATAGAGATTCATGATGTTTGTGCAGAACTCTACATCTGACGACTCGATCCATCAGCCTGAGGACTTGGCTGGTATTTATTATTCGCTCTGCACTGAGTCTGTGACATTTATTAGCATGCTATAAATTCCAAGGACATAAAAAAAGAGCAGACTTTATAATGATTGGCTCTGTCCTTTGTTTCTCAGCATGCAGAGAGGAAAGGGATTTCACTTTCTTTCTAATTCTGATGCAACGTCTTATTCATTACAAGCCTACTGCAATCCTTCAAATCAACTTTGGTTGCTTTTTGTTTCCTAATCCCTTTAGGGAAATGGGAATCTGATACAGACTGATTTTTGTTCAGCCGACGGTTCTGTGGCTGATGTGCGCTTTTAATGCGTTAAAATGGAAACGCTCCCTGAGGATGCAGGTATGTGCTGAAAGAAACTTCTCCCCATTGTTTCCCTTCGTGCATCTCTGTGTTGTTTTTCACTCTTTCATCTCCGTTGTAGCCTAAGTGGCGTGCAGCCAACTCATCCACCCGCATTCCTGTTTGTTCTGGTAATGAGTGAAGAGGTGCACGCGTCCCGCCTGCTGAGTGAAGAAAAGGACGAGGGAGCAGAGGGAGCATGCTGTTTCAACAGATAGGAGAATCCGTGCGTTCCAGTTTGCAGTAACGGTTGTAGAAAACCATCAACTGTCTGCTTGTGATGCCTGAATTTCTTTAAACAATGCAGAGAACGCTTCACATCGTCGCCTGGAAGCAGAGCGTGTATTTGTTGGGCCAATCACAGCGTCTTTTTTTATATATATACAGTGGGGCAAAAAAGTATTTAGTCAGCCACCAATAGTGCAAGTTCTCCCACTTAAAAAGTTGAGAGAGGCCGGTAATTTTCATCATAGATATACCTCAACTATGAGAGACAAAATGAGAAAAAAAATCCAGAAAATCACAGAATTTTTTTGCAAAATATGGTGGAAAATAAGTATTTGGTCAATAACAAAAGTTCATCTCAATACTTTGTTATATACCCTTAGTTGGCAATGACAGAGATCAAACGTTTTCTGTAAGGTTTTCACACACTGTTGCTGGTATTTTGGCCCATTCCTCCATGCAGATCTCCTCTAGAGCAGTGATGTTCTGGGGCTGTCGCTGGGCAACACGGACTTTCAACTCCCTCCAAAGATTTCCTATGGGGTTGAGATCTGGAGACTGGCTAGGCCACTCCAGGACCTTGAAATGCTTCTTACGAAGCCACTCCTTCGTTACCCCGGGCGTTGTGTTTGGGATCATTGTCATGCTGAAAGACCCAGCCACGTTTCATCTTCAATGCCCTTGCTGATGGAAGGAGGTTTTCACTCAAAATTTGACGATACATGGCCCCATTGATTCTTTCCTTCACACGGATCAGTCGTCCTGGTCCCTTAGCAGAAAAACAGCCCCAAAGCATGATGTTTCCACCCCCATGCTTCACTGTAGGTGTGGTGTTCTTTGGATGCAACTCAGCATTCTCTCTCCTCCAGACACGACGAGTAGAGTTTTTACCAAAAAGTTCTATTTTGGTTTCATCTGACCATATGATATTCTCCCAGTCATCGTCTGGATCATCCAAATGCTCTCTAGCAAACTTGAGACTTAAAAAAAAATTAAGAATATAATCCTATAAAGGGTTTTTATAATATGTTGGAAGCCCACCAAACTTCAGGTCAGAATTACTTTATTAATCTTTGTGGGAAATTCTTTAAGTTCTTAATTTTTCTACAAGCACAAAAAAATAGAATTAAAAATACGACGAGGAGTGTTGAGTAAGTCAACGGAGACGTAACTTTCCACAGATAGAGGGTCGAGCAAATTTGGCTTTGTTTTAACGCAAATGTTATAGTTTTATTCTGTAGTCAAACATATTTTTACCGTCATCAAGTTTCAGCAATGTTATTTATTTATGTGTTTTTATATCTCTTCTTTATGTAAAGCAGTTAGAAGAGCCTGGTTACTCGAAAATACCTGATACGTCTGGCAATAAAATTAATGTACGCAAGAGGATTAGGGCCACTGACAAAAAAAAAAAAGTACTGATTTTAAAATTTTATGTCAATTTAGTATGGGAAAAAAAGTCAGAATTCTGACTTTAATCTAAGAATTCTGACTTTTTTATTGTCAGAATTCAGTCAGAATTCTGAGAAAAAAGTCAGAATTCTGAGTTTAAAGTCAGAATTCTGAGAAAAAAGTCGGAATTCTGACTTTTTTCCCATGTTAAACTGAAATAAATTTTGAAAATCACTTACAGTAACTTTTTTTTCAGTGGCCCTAATCCTCTTCAGCTGTGTCTATTTAAGCCAGTGATTGTGTTTGATGAAGACTGAATGCTGTGGAGCCAAAAAAACCTGCTGATGCCTGATAAGTCAATTTCTCACTGAAAATCCAGCCGAGAGGTCACCTGTTAACAGGATCTAGTCATTTAATTAACCATCTTAGTTTTTGTGAATATATATGAATTCTGCTCTAATTTGTAGTTACTGATTTGTCGTCACAAACCAGATCTTCTCGACGTTCTTTTCCCTGTTTGGTGCGATCGAATTTGTGGATCTTGAGCTCGCCGGAGCGGAGCAAAAAATAGCTCGGCTCCGTATTTTGATGGTGTCGGTCGGATGGTGGTGGATGTGAAACAGTTCTCATTGGTTAACATGACAGACGGGGCGGAGCGGAGGACGTAGAATCTGGGGGTTAGAAGCTGAACCTCAATAAAAGCGACCAATTGTTGTGTTTTATCCAATCAGACAGTAACGGTAGAAGAACTGCTGCTTTAACATGAAGTTCTACCTTTTTTTTTTATAAAAAAGGTTCTGAAAAATCTCCTAACACCTTAAGGGTGTGCAAAATAATCGTCATGACAATGCATCGCGATTCTAATTTTTGTGATGTAGTGCATCGATTCTTGAAGGCAAGAATCGATTATTAAAAAAAAAAAATAAATGAACAAATAAAATGCATGAATGGTTGGCGCACATCAGCCAAACCAGGTGGAATGCAACTTCCAGGCCAGCAGATGGCGCTGCGGATGCGTTGACGCTTTGTGTCGAAGCATGTCCGGCCGCGGGATACTGAGACGAGTCATATGAAATAAAACATGGAGGACACTAGGAACAGTCGCCCCGCAGCTTCATCACATTTCAAGTCGGATGCTTGGATGCATTTAGGCTTTAAAAACAAAGAAGGTAAAAATGAAATTGATATGACGCACGTCATTTGCAAAAGGACCACTGAGGCCATGTAAACGGCACTGAATCTCAGAATTCAGTCAGAGTTCTGAGATTAAAGTCAGAATTCTGACTTTTTTCCAATACTAAATTGAAATAAAATTTTAAAACCAGTAAACTTTTTTTTTCAGTGGCCCTAATCCTCTTCCACACTAACGCACCTTTGCTTAAAAAAAGAAGCAAACAGTCACACATGTTAAAGGTTCTGTTATAGTCACCTGGAATTACTTGAAGCCGCTAATTAAACAATCATTTTCTCTTGGTCTGTGGGGGGGTGGGGGGTTTATAAAGTTAATTTGGATAAATTTTGCCCTAATAGGATCTCACATGAAAACTGAATGTCAGATTTTCTTGTAATATCTCTAAGATGAACAAATTTCTAAAACAAAATATAAATAAAGATTTCTCTGAAGGTAAAAAAAAACACTGCATTTGGGAAGAAGCTGTGTTCATCCGTCAGCTTAATGGGGTTGCTATGGCAACAACAACGGGCCTGCTTCTGTCTTGATGATGCTCTGAATTGTTCGGAGGTCACCTTGTGAGACGCCCAAGCAGCAGGTGAGCTGCAACGCTGCTGATCGAAGCGATTATTTGAAAATTGGTTCATCTGTCAGTCTCATCAGTTCACCAGGTTTCTACCCTTGAACCTCCTTAAAACTCCCCAAACTGCTCCTGCCGCCCAGCCGTCAGCAGCAGCTGCTTTCATCAAACTCCCGGCCCATTCCTTGGCTCTGCTTTCCACCCAGGAGCCGTGAGAGCGCAGCTTTTCATGGTCCTCGTTTAATCAGCGGCTGATGGAGTGGCTGGGAAGCCAGGTGGAGGCTCTCTCTCTGGGAAATTAGCGCTATTAACCGATCACGTAAAGTAGCAGAATCGTGCGACAGCAGCAGCTGTACTGCCTAATGGAGAGAAACTGCTGATAGCTTTGGGTCTGTGCAGATGTGTAGCTGTCGTTCGTTCGTGCGTGTATGCTCATGTCATGGTACAGCAGTTAAGGGTGACAAACACGCCCACGAGGGTGATTGTTCAGGTGGTGATGCATGTGCAGGAGAATTTATGTCACAGGAGGACCAGTTTGTTTGTTAATGTCAAGAAACATCGACTTAACACTGATCCCTGCTCCATTTGATCTTGTTCAGCTTGACCTTGTGTGTCTCTGTTGGTGTGTAAGTGTGCGAGGCATGCACCAATCAAGCACACTGGCTTGATTGAATGTGTTGAACTCTGCTCACCGTCTCCTTGTTTACTTGCTTTAATGATTGCTCTAACAGTGAGAGAGCTGAAAAGGATTGAGCCTACTGTAAAATGAAAATGTGCTGGGGAGCCCCCTTTGTATGAAGGTCAGGAGACGTGAAGAAAAGAGAGGGAGCGGCGGAAAGGAGAAGGTCAGAGAGCGAGAAGCGGAGCGGCGAGAGAACAAGGCAGGAAATCCCAGGATAGGTTCCGCTCAGCATCAGGAGGATTACAGCAGCATCTGCTTCCAAAGGTGACGTGGAAAGTTCATTATCTCCACACAACGACATCTCTAGTAAATAAAAATAACCTGAGGGGGGGGGGCTTGCAAAAATATTCCTATTTCTTGGCTGTTTTTAAGCACAACAACTAAAAAAATTTTTTAAATGGAGAACCAAGATAATTAATTCGGGACAGAACTAAACAATAAAGTAAAAAACATTTCTATTAAACAACAACATATTCTAAACTATTGTAGCTCTGATTCTATGTTTGGAGACGGAACCTTAAGCCTTACAGCCTTAATATTACTTTATACACTCACCGGCCACTTTATCAGGTACCCCATGCTAGTAACGGGTTGGACCCCCTTTTGCCTTCAGAACTGCCTCAATTCTTGGTGGCATAGATTCAACAAGGTGCTGGAAGCATTCCTCAGGGAGTTTGGTCCATATTGACATGATGGCATCACACAGTTGCCGCAGATTTGTCAGCTGCACATCCATGATGCGAATCTCCCGTTCCACCACATCCCAAAGATGCTCTATTGGATTGAGATCTGGTGACTGTGGAGGCCATTTGAGTACAGTGAACTCATTGTCATGTTCAAGAAACCAGTCTGAGATGATTCCAGCTTTATGACATGGCGCATTATCCTGCTGAAAGTAGCCATCAGAAGTTGGGTACATTGTGGTCATAAAGGGATGGACATGGTCAGCAACAATACTCAGGTAGGCTGTGGCGTTGCAACGATGCTCAATTGGTACCAAGGGGCCCAAAGAGTGCCAAGAAAATATTCCCCACACCATGACACCACCACCACCAGCCTGAACCGTTGATACAAGGCAGGATGGATCCATGCTTTCATGTTGTAGACGCCAAATTCTGACCCTACCATCCGAATGTCGCAGCAGAAATCGAGACTCATCAGACCAGGCAACGTTTT